TGTCATTGGATATTGTCGCGCCAGCGGGGTAGCGACTGCGCGTTCAGTTTGCGGATGGGCATCGGCGCTTGATTTGCGCGCGGCGCGTGGCCACGCGGCGGGGAGATGCAGGTGCAGGACCGTGACATACCAATTGGTTCAGGAATATCGGGGGCGTGCTGGCTGAGAGCCGGCGCAGTCGGGTACTCCACTGTGCCGTGCTAAAATTGCGATGTACATAACACCTGAAGCAAAAGTCAACGGTCTTTGGGCGCGCGCGATTCCCCCCCCATCCCCCCCCCCCCCCCCAGGGGCTCCAAACCGGGAATGTGGCCCCCCCCAAGGCCCAGCCCGAACGCGCCGCGGGGGAGAAAGGGGCCCCAAAACGGGCAAAGACGGTCCGAGAGGCCCCCCAGACGGTCCAAGAGGGCCGCGAGTCGCCGAAGGATCGCTCCAAGACGCCCAAGATATTCCAAGAGGCCCCCAAGATGCGTCCTAATAAGGCCCCAAGAACCACGCATCGCCCCATTCCCTTTGGAAAATGCGCATGTTTAGCACGATCGCCTCTTCGCCTATCACGGCGTCCAAGACGGCCCAGGAAGCCTACACTATCGCTCCGAGCCGGCCCGCGGGGCCCCCAAGAGGGTTCCAAAATCATCCCCAAATGGCACAATGAGCCCCCGAGACAGCCCCCAGAAGGTCTCGGAGCGGCCCCATGGGGGGGCCAGAGGGGCACTCTTTTCGAGCCCTCGGTCCCGAGCCGCCCCCAGGCGGCCCAACATGAACTCCAAAAGGCCCCCGGGCTCCCCCGGGAGTTCCGAGACAACCGCCAAACATTCAAGAGGCCCTCAAGGGGCTGAAAAACTGCCCCCCCAACCCGCCCAGGAACGGCGCCCCCGCGAGACCTTATCAACCACCCGATTGTTTTCCGATCCGAAACCCAGGCACGGTGGCGGGATGCACCGAAGGCCATTCGATAACCACTCCCGTGGTGTTTCGACCGATGCTGGCCCCATCCGCACGGATCCGGAGGGCTGCGAGACCAGGTGAAGCTCTGTCCCATCCCCCACATCCACCCCCTCCTTGTCAGCTTTCTCCATCTCCTTGGTTTCGTCCGCGGAGAGCGCGGACTTCGGCGATTTCTTCTGGCGCGGGCCGCTGCGCTGATGCGCCTGCCAACTGCGCGCCGTGAAACCCAGGCGCGCGCAATGCGCGCGCGCCGCGAGCTTCTGTTCCGCCATTGGGTGCTTTGTTCATGTGTCCATTCATTCAGTGTCTCGCGTCTGCGAATGAATCTCCGCAAGTCGCGCGCGTCAGCAGGATCGTTTCCGCACGCGCTGAGCTCTTGCGATTCGCTACTGATGCGTTCGCTGGCATTGCTGATTTCTCTTTTTCACTCGCGCACCTCCGACGCAGTCCCACCCCGATTCCGCTGTGTTTCTCTGCGCTTCCGACAGACCCATGCCGGGATGGACCGAAAGCCGCGGCAAATTTCACGGCCCGGATGACAATCTGGTTTCGGGGGGGGGGGGGGGCGGGGCGGAATGTCCTGCGCGGATCTGGAGGGCTGCGAGACCCGGTCACAATGTCTCATAATACTTGTACATCTCTTCCTTCTCCTCCACCCCCTCCTTCGCCTGCCCCCCCCCCCCCCTCCCCGCCCCCCCCCCCCCCCCCCCCCCGCGCCCCCCCCCCCCCCCCCCCCCCCTCAGCTTTCTCATTATCATTGGTTTCGTCCTATTTCCACCGAGCTCAGCGCGCGCAGCGCCGCCGTTGATTCGATTCCACAACTGGCCACCCGCATGTGCACCACCTGCGCGCCTAACGCTTCAGGGTGCCCTGTTTTTCGTCGCGAGCGACGCGGCCACTGGCCGCGGAGAACGCCAACTTCGGCAATTTCTGCTGGCACGGGCCACGCGCCGCGAAACCCAGGCGCGCGCAAAACGCGCGCGCCGCGCGCTTTTGTTCCGTCTCTCGCCGATGTTCGACTTGTCCGTTCTTTAAATGTTTCGCGTCTGCGAATGGATCTCCGCAAGCCGCGCGCGTCAGCAGGATCGCTTCCGCCCCCGCTTTCCTCTTGCGGCTCGCTTCCTCTCTGCGTTCGCTCGCGTAGCTGATGCGTCTTTCTCACTCGCACACCTCCGAAGCAATCTCGCCCCAGCTCCGCGGCGCCCTCTCTGCGCATCCGAGATAGCCTTCTCCTCGAACCGCGTCGTGCATTTGTCGTTGGAACAACGGGCTGCGCTGGCGATCTCGCGCCACATTGAATTGCCCTTGAGCGGATTCTGCTTCGCCTTCGCATGGTTGCACTTCGCGCAATAGATGGTCCGCATGGTTTTCAACCCCTCTCCGTCGTTCGCACTCTCCCCGCCGCGACCGGCGTCGTGGCACGTCGACCCATCGCCTCCTGCTCTTGTCGCCAATCCTCTGCGCGTCTTGCACAATTTTCACCCTTGCTCTTCATTTCCTCCGCGCATTCCTTACATGGCGCCGGCCTTTTCTTCTTCCAGAACTCATGCTTCGTGAGCGCCCCCACGAGCAGCCTCCGCCGGCACCGCTGACGCTGGTCTCGCGGCATCAGCTTCGCTGCCCAGTCTTCCCAGTCCACCTGCTTTCTGCGGAGCATTTGCAACAACTTCCGCGCGCGGGCCATTTCGCGTTCATTGCACGGGCTCCTATCAAGAAGGCCGAAAGACCAATAAGTTTTCACGCCGTCGCACCCGCGTGATGGCCACGTAACTTGACATCCAATTCAAGCCACGCCCTCTTTCAAGATCCGCTATGACTGCGCCCATTGTCCGTCCTTGCGCGGCGTGCGCCGTGACTGCTAACGCCGACGTGATCATGAACTGCGTGCGCTTGACACCCAACACAGGATGCTTCCGATACCCGTCCTAAAACCATTGACTTCCCTTCGACGGAAAAATGACATGCAAACCCTGCTCCCAGCCTGGGAGGTGCCATTCCTTCGTGTGGTGTCTAAGACGATGACTCTTGGCAAGTGCATCAACACTTCTTCGTCATCTCCCACGACGTCGTCCTCGTGCAACACAAACCCATGAATTGTCATTGTTCGCCCCCGCAACAGCTGCTTCTTCGACCGATCTAGGTCATCTCCCAAAGCGACAGGCTTGCCCTTCGCCAGCGGCAGCCACCCTGGCAAGCTCGCGCGCTCCTTATTGTAATAACCCAGCCACTGTATATTGTCCTCCATAGAGGCAAGGACGCAAGGGCTCCCTTAGGAAATCTCGCGTCCTTACCATGCGCGTTGACTATATTCCCAGCTCGGGGAGGCATCGTGGACCTCTTCGCTGGCGGTGGCACCCTTGGCGTTGGAGGCGGTGGTGCCGCCCCTCCTGCCTCCGAAGTCGGGGCGTCGGCCCACGCCCACCGGGGGGAGAGGCTGCTGCTGCGGGCGCTGCGATCGCGGGCGGTTCCTTCGCCGCACTCCCCCCCCTATTCCTGCCTGTTTCTCTTTCTCCTCCGGCTGCCCTCCATTCCTTTCCTTCTAACTACTTCCCTCCATTTCCACCTCACGACGAATCGGTAGGGAGGGGCCAAGCGTTTCGCAGGAGACCTCCTCACAAATCATGACCCCAAACTTGAAATATGCAACCGCTGCGCCGCTCACGTTCGTCTACACAGTTCGCAATGGTTTTAAGGATGGAGGGCGCGTGGTTTTCAACATGTGGCTCTCGCCAAAGCGCCGCGCACAGTCGCCACACAAGTGTTACGCAGTTTCCAGGATTCCTACGGTTGAAATGTTAGGAATGGTGTTCTGGTGCGACTTCGGATTGCCAAGACGCAGTGGTCACGTCGATTCGCGGTGATGAAGCCCCAGAGGTTGTCAGGACGTAGCAGTCATGTTGATTCGCGGCGTCAATGTCCCAAGAATAATGTGGCCGACTCATTCAAGGTGTCGGCGGATATGGCTGAAGCCTATAGCAAAAGAAGGAAGGGTTGGGGGCTTGACCATGAGCTAAAAAGCTGAGAACCCTACTTTCAGGATAACGCCGGAGACGTATCGAGGCATCCCACAACACATCCTTTGATGGCAAACAAGGCGGGAGATAAGAGAGAAGCCGTGGGATGGAAGGGCGAATCATGAATAGCCGTGGCCTGTGTCTGATGCTATGATCCCAACCGAGTCGCACACAATCGCGAAACAAGCAAATCGGACTGCGCAGGCTTGAGCCAAGACAGCGTCGGAAATAGCGTTCGCTATACAGACTCGCCTCAAACCTCGTTTAAAGTGACTGGCCCTTCCCACAGAAGGAGAAGCAAACGGCATAAACATACATTTTCGGAGGTCAGCGCTGATGTCTTGGCTGTGCGCGCGGAGCGCGCCAGGGGCGGGGCCTGAGCCGCACAGTCTGGGCCCCAAGATCTGAACATAGAACAGAACGGAGGGACGACGCGCGGGCGCTGCTAAAGTGTTCCTCTGCTCCGTGCTCCTGGCCCAGATCGTCTGGCCAGGCCTTCTGACCCTGGAGGAGGCGGCCGTCTATGAGTTGGAGTCAGCACCTTCTTACCCCACCTCCCCCCCGAGCCGAACCCCCTCTTTTGCGTTGCCCTCCTCTCCTTTGCTAGAGGCGTCCCACATGGGGTTCGTTCGCGCGCTGCATCGCCGATGAATCGCTGACGCATCAGCACTGCATCGGCGACGTCGGCGTAGAGAAATCGGGCCCCACATCGAGCCGCATCCCCTGTGCATCGACGATGCGGCGCGATCCGCAGACTCCATCTACTCGGACCCCACCCATCTGTGAGGCCTAGGCTAACGCTGCCCCCCTTTCGGCTACATGCAGGAGTGACCCTGGGAAAGGGTGACCCTTGTTGCGCGGCGTTACGGGGCCTCGGGGGGGGAGCCAAATCCAAGCTCGCAGGCCGGTGCTGGGGCTGCCCACGCCAAAGGTCACTCCGGCGAAGGGCCACTCTTGCGCATAGCCGACCCCTCCTGGTGCTCCCTCCCCCCCCTCTGGCGCGAAGCCCCCCCGTCGGCGGCACCGGCGGCTCGGCGCCTCCTCCAGCAGCGCCTCGTGCTCGCGGCAGCCCAGGCCGCACGCGGCGCGGAGGCCCGGGTGCGCCTCTCGCTGCCGCGCCGCCTCCGAGAGGGGGTCCGCGGGGGGAAGGGCTCCGAGATTCCCACACAGCTCCTCGTCCTCGTTTCCGGAGAATCAGCCCAGACATGCACCGCGATCCCCCCGAGTGCTTCGAGAGTTCTGCAGCTCCTCGAACCCTCGCTTCCAGAAGATCAGCCTGGACATGCCCTGCGTTCCCCCCGAGTGTTGCCCATCCCGTCCGCAGGGTGCTGTCCCAAGCGTCCGCCGACTCCCGCGCGCAGGAGGCCATCGACAGCCGCCCCGTGGGCGCGGCAGCGGAACGGGACCGTACTGCTTGAGCGGTCCCCTCAGGACAGCTCAGCTGCGCTAGTGGAAGTGCGGTTTGAGGGCCCAATGGGAGCCGCAGCGGACGTAGCCAACGGATCGAGAGCAGCACCGCGCAGACGCCAACACACACAAACTGTCTCTACACAGTCGCCCAGCGCTTCAGCGGCAGACCCACCGCGGCAGAGTGGTGGCCCATCGACGACGATGTTGTGAACTTCTACCAGCCCCTCGACCCCTTCCACCAGAACGCCATGGGCAGCGACTTCAGGCGCGGGCCCAAGGCCCACAGGTCTCAGAGGCAGCAGTGGCTCGGCGAGGCCAGGGCATGGGAGCGCGAGGCGCGCGTCGCGCGCCAAGACCAGCATCAGGATGATGAGGATGAGTTCGGCGGTGGCAACGTGCCGCCGAGGACGATCGAGAGCGAGGTCAGGGCGTGATCGCCCGCCAGATGACGGCCAGCGACACCCCAGGGGCTGGAACCGCCGTGGCCAAGGGCGGGAGGCGCTGCGACGAGAGTCGCGGGCCGAGGCCAGGAGGCCTGCGGACTGCTGCCGGTGGCATGGCGGCCAAGAAGTCGAGGAGACCAGAGGGCGCGGCGACCGCGAAGGCGCCGAGGGCGCCCGAGGCAGACGAGGAGGCCGCCAGGCACCGAGCGGATGGCGGTACCGAGCACGACCCCATCGTTGCTAAGCGCTTCACCCTCGAGTGTGCCGCTTGGGGGGAGGGGGGGTGGCGAAGCCTGCTGCAAAGGCGACGCCCTGCGGCCAGGGGAGGTAGGGCGGCCACTACCTGCGCCCATGTTTTTAACGAGCGTGAGCACGCTGATGCGGAGGGCTGAGCACCGCTGCGACTGCGAGAGGTACTTGGGTCCAGGCCGTCGGCTCTGCCGTGCTACCGCTGGGGTTGCGATCCTCACAGGCTTCGAGCGGTGCCACTCCGCCGATCCGCGACCGAGTCGGCTCAAGCGACGGCAGCGGCCTCCTCCAAGGATCGAGCGCGCAGCCCGCGCGCGGCGGACAGGAGCCCGACCCCGAGGGCGCCGAGGGGGCCGCCATCGTCGTCGAGGAGCCCAACGCCGCCTCCGTGTCGAGCCATATTGCCGCAGCCGAGCCCGACGCACAGCCCGCGGGCGAGGCCAGAGAATCGGACGCCGCCTCCTTGCCGTGCGAGGTTGCCGCAGCCGCTCCCACCAAGAGGCCCTGCCGAGGACGAGGCGCCCAGCACGGGCTCGCTGGCCGAAGGCGAGGCGCCGGGCGCTGCTCAGGCCGCCGTGGGCGCGTGCACGGCGCCTTGGACTAGCTCGGCGGGGCAGCTGGCTTAACGCAGGCGGGACCCGCTGGTCCCTCCGCGAGGTTTCGCCGTGGTGACCTTCGCGGCGCGGGGTGGACGCGGCCAGGTGCTGACCCTGCAGATGCGGGAGGGTAGCCACGGCCACGCGGAGTCCCTCCGCGTGTGGCTGCCTGCTGACACGGCGCAGGTGCTCGTGGGCGACCAGGTAGCGGTCCAGCGGGCTAGAGCAGGGCAGCCGGGTCTGCTGGCACTTCGACCCCTCGGACCATGGGTCGTCGCCGCTCGGCCCGACCGAGTAACCAGACTCCGACTCGGCCGCTCCCCAGGCGTGTCATCCTTGCGCAGGGGCCATGCGAATCTCCTCTGTACCGTTCCAACTTTAACGGATGACCCCCGAAGGGAATCCTCGGCCGCTCCCCAGGCGAGCGGCAGGCAGTCGCCCCCCTGTGGACGCCGGGCACCCGCCGGCAGAGCCTGCGGCGCCCGTGCCCTCGGCAGAGCGGCCGCGAGAGGGGCAGGCCCCCTGAGACGGCTCTGTCCTCCCCCGGGGGGCGGCTGGGACCCTGCCCTCGGCGGCACGGCGCCGCCCGCGGCGACGGCGCGGCGGCCACGGCGGAGGCCACGGCGGCGGCGCCCACGCCGGGGGCGGCCCCCGGCGCTGCGGCGGGCTGCGGGCGCGCCGCCCTGCTGCTCCCGCCCGGCGCGCGGGCTGCTGAGGCACGCTGAGGGGCCCCTCTGGCCCGCGCGCCCGCGCCGAATGGCGGGCGCGCTTCGCCCTCCCCCCCCCCTCCTCCCCTTCCCCCCCGTGGTGCGAGGACCTGCCCTTCCCCCTTCGTTCGTTCGTTCGCCACGCGCCCCCCACCCCCCATCGGTCGGCTCCGTCGCAGCATCGGCCCGCCTTGCAAGCGGGAAACATGGGAAGAAAATGAGAAGGAGGATAATGACTATCCATTACGGGCAAAGGTGTCTAGAGGTGACGAGGGTACAAGTGTCCAAGACAAGTCGCGTGGCCAACAGAAGCTCCGCAAGATCACCATCACCGACGATGCATCAGCATCCCCAACTTCATACTGGTCGGTCGCTCCTGGTTATGTTGTCTCATCGCCCACCTCCTCAAGCAGGATTGCCGAAGGGTATGAGAAGAAGGAAGAGGACAGAGGAATCAAGGGATATTTGACGGGCGCAGCGGTGTATGACCTCGCAAAAGGGGTGCAGAGATGAGCATGGTGATGCAGAGTGGCAGAAGACAATCCATGGATGTTGAGACCGACCCCAGCAATCCGTGAACAGCAACAACAGCAGCATGCACATCTCCAGGTGATGTCCCCGACGCAGGGACAGGGAGAGGGGCAGGAGGTAGCAAGGGCAAGATTAGCAAGGCGGACGCGGGTCCTGAGGGAAACGGGTCCTGGACCCTGGGACCTTCCCTTAGGACGAGCTTTTCATCCTGATTCGTTTTCTGACAGTCCACTCCCGGGGCCCGTGGAGGGCCCCGAGAACCCGACACCGGTGAAACACCTCAGGACCCGTTCACCTAACGACCCGCTCCCCCCGTGGCGACAGGAGGAGGAACCATCCCGCCAGGGGTGGGCCTCGGGCAGGCAACCGCCGCCAGAGACCACGGCCGACAGGTTTGCGTAGGCGCTCTGGCGGTGGAAGTCCTCCGCGCTTGCCCGCTCTGCGCTCCTCCCAGCTGCTGCCGCCGCCCCTCCGGGCCTGCGGCGCGGCGGGGCGAACCCCTTCCCTCGGGTGCGCCAAAGGGGCGAGCCCCCCTGCCTGGCAGCCGAGAGAGAGGAAGCTGGCCTATCCTTGCCTGTCGGCTTCTTCTCTAACGCCCTATACGCAAGTGGCTCTCCAGGAGCTGTGCGTGAACAAAAACGCTTCCGGGACACGCTGCGACTGCGACTGCGACTGCGACCCGCATTGCGCACCCTGTAGGTGCCGCGGGCTGGGGCCGAAGCAGCCGCTACAGCTTAAAACGCCTGGCAGGAATCGTGTTTGGGGGCGTTCCATGTATCTTGCGTGGCCCACCTCAACAGCAGATGAACAGTCTCTCGCGCCCCACGGCCGTTTGCAACAGCTTTCTGCTCTCCCGGGGTCAACATATCCTTGTGATTTGAGATCGAGCCACTGCTGGTGCGAGAAAAGAGGAGTCGCTCCCACAATCAAGAAGTCCAAATCTGGCCTCGGGCCAAAGGTCTCCACTCTCTGCCGGATGGACAGCGGCATCTTGAGCCGAAATGACCGCGCAGGAGAAAACGGTTGAGGAGGAGGAGGAGGAGGAGGAAAAGGAAAAGGAACAGGAGGAGGAGGCGCGGCGGTCGACGAGCGCGCCACCTCGTCAGCGCATCTGCGGTGCTCCGACTGGGCGGGCGCCGGGGGCCTGCTCCCTCGAGAAGAGGTGCGCGGGACAGCGCTCCAGGCTGTCGCCAGGAACCCCAGTGGCAACGCAACGGAACGAAGCGCGCAAAGCGCAGGACGAGCAGAAACACTCCAGAGAGGTTAGTCGGTCACTGGAACATCTACATTGCCAGTGGCGGGCTGCTTTTCAATCCCATGGCTTTTTGAAGGTCGGGGACGCCATCGGGGTGGTGTGGTGTATACTTGTTTTCCCGCTTTCCCGCGAAAGCAACGTAACATATATACACCAAGATCCCGTGTAAACCAGGATCCACTTTCCTGTGCGACGCTCAGTGCGGGGCCGGACAAACAACGTCGGTGTATAGAGTTCGGTTCCCAGCTTCGCGAGCAGATGGAACAGCTGGTTGGGCCCTCCCCTCGGCTTGGTGATCCTGGCGACAAGTCGGTGGAGCTGCAGAAGCTGTGCAGAAGGTGGGACGGCACTGAGGGCACGGCTGACGAACACGCGCGCGACGCTTGCTGCATGCGCAGCGCGCCTGCGGCACCCAGCTGATGCTCGCAGGGGCGCCCCCCCCAGCCCGGCCAAAATATGCGTAAGGCAGGGATCCTGAAGCAAGCAAGCATCTTGTGCTGCAGTGGTGCGGCGAGCATCGCAAGGCCGCCGTCAGAGCCAGATACCACGAGAAGCAGGCTGGGCGAGGAGGGGCGACGCGCGTTTGCTGTTTGCGTCGCCTTGGACGGTGAGGAAGCGAACTGCCTCCCGAAGCCAGACTGGGCAAACACTTTCTGATGGTGAAGCAACGTGCGTACACCTGAACAGGGTGCTCGTGAACGGCGGGCCGCATGTCTTCTTTGTCGTTCCCATCGTTCATGCATGTTTTGCGTCGGCGGCTGGGCACGGGTCGCCTGCGCTGGCGGAATACATGATCTAGATAAACGGGGGCACCGTTGTAGCGAATTGGCCACCATGCAGGAGGGGGGAGGGACGGAACGTGCAGCCGCGGGGAGGGGGAAGAAGCGAGGGCCGCCTCGTTCATGAAACACGATCCCCTTGGTTAGGGCGGGCATGTCCTCCTACAGGCGGATGTTGGGAGAAAGCTGAAACAAAAACTTCAACAATAGTCAGAAAGAATGTAAAATCGTCCCCGTACTATGTTTGGACTATTTTTGAATAGTCCGCCAGTACAAAGATATACTTGATTTAAGGATAGTGGTGCCCAGGAGATGCACCGACCAAACCCGGAGCCCCGCGAGGACCCACCTGCAACATGCGAACCCATCTGGGAGACCTTAGTTCTTGCAGCGCTGATGGCAAAGCGTGCTTGGAAAGAGACTTGGGGGCGCGCGCAGGGAGGGGGGAGGGAGGGAGGCAGGCTTCTTAGAAGGCTTAGAAGGAGGCTGCTTCTCAGAAGGCGCGGGCCTTCCATCTGCAGGCACGGCCCGGGCGCGCCTTCTAAGAAGCAGGGGTACTTCTGAGAAGCCTCCTCCTCCTCCTCCTCCTCCTCCTCCTCCTCCTCCTCCTCCTCCTCCTCCTCCTCCTCCTCCTCCTCCTCCTCCTCCTCCTCCTCCTCCTCCTCCTCCTCCTCCTCCTCCTCCTCCTCCTCTGCGTGTGGCCGGGAGAAATAAGCCGAGGAAGGCGGCGTCAGCGAGGTTGCCAGACACGGCCGACCCACGCACCGACAACAGCGGCGATGCGCCACCCTGCCACACGAGAGGGCCTCAGCGCAGTCACCGCCCGCTCCCCGTCGGCAGGGCGGCGATCGCTGCGAAGGCCAGGCTGTCGCGTGTGCCGCCTCGGCCAACTGCGGCCAGGGGGCCAAGATGCAGCCGCGGCCACCAGGCCGCGGGGTCGTGCGGGCCGCCTCGGTCGTCTGCAGCCGCGGGGCTGGGATGCAGCGGTGGCACCCAGGCCGCGGGGCCCCACAGAAAGGCCGCAAACACTCCAGGGACCCACGGGAGCGGCAGACCGAAAGAGAGAGAGAGAGAGAGCCGGCCGAGCTCCGCACGCCCAGAGGGCCCAGACGAGGCAGCGGCCTTGCCCACAGCGAGCGGCCAGAAGGCGGCGCGGGTCGATAGGACATCGTGCCACCGAAGTGCCGAAGAAAAGTCCACCCACGCATCGGGTGGATGGTAACGGGGGGGCCCGACTTGGGGGTGAAGAAACGGGCCCTGACGGGGCCCTTTAGGGCCCCTGTTGTAGCCAGCAGGGACCCAAAAGGAGCCCCAAGGTGCACATGAGGGCCCTTGCCTTCAAAACCCATGTAGCTCGCACCCCATTACCACCAACCCGAACACATACGTCCTGCCGTCTCGTCCTTGCCCTCTCGCCTCCTTCTCCTCATCCTCTTACACGAGGAAGCGAGAGATGGTGGAAAGCAGGAGGACGAGGAGGACGGCGGAAGGGAGGAGGCGGAGGAGGAGGACGCATTTGAGAGTTCTGGGCGACCGTAGAGGCTGTAGTATGTTCGGGGGGGGGGAGTGTCCTCTTGTTCCCGCTCCTCCTGCTCTCTCTCCACAACCTAGGCCGCCTCCGGCTGCTGCTGCTCCTGCTCATCCTCCTCCTCCTCCTCCTCCTTTTCCTCCTCCTCCTTCCCTCTCCTGTCAACTTCTCCTCACATCCCCCTCCTTTCTCTGGCCACCTTCTTCTTGCGCCTCGCCGCTCTGAGCTCCTCCTTCCTCTCCCTCTTCTGCCTCCTCCCCCCACCCGATCCCCAGCCCCTGCCGTCGCGCCCCCCCTCCCGAAACCCCCGCGGCGCTGCCCCGCCCCGCCCTTCCGGCTCCGACGGGGGCACGGCGACCTCAAATCCCTGGCTCGGTGGGATGCCGACCGGGCGCAGCACAGCCGCGGGCCCAAGCTGGAGAAGTAAGGCGAGGGGAGAGGAGAGGCCCCCAAGAGGCCTCCAGGAAGACCCAAAAGGCCCTCACGAGGCTCCCAGGAGCCCCCCAGGAGGCCGCGGAAGACCCAAGAGCGTCCCCACCCTCCTCGTCCACCTCTTCCATCTCGCGGCCCTCCTCGCATACAGGGTCGGCGGCACCGTCTCGAGGGCCTTCACAATAAGAAAGGGGGGGGGTGGGGGGGGGGGGGGGCGCCCGTCCCCAAGAGGGGGTGCGTCCGAATATCCCACATGGGGGGTGCATCCCCGAGTGCCCCTCCTTTCCTGCGGCCATCGCTGTGCCACCGCGGGGAGCGCTGACGACGGAGCGAAGGGGCTCGTCTGGCCGCGCTGCGGCTCGGCCACGACGAGGCTCACCGACCTGGATCAAGGGAGCGGCCCGAAGCACGGGGACGCTCCCGAGCCCGAAGTGCTCCACATTTCCGCGTCTGGACTGCGGACGGCCAGGCTTTGCTTCGCGGAGCGCGGCCAGCTGCGCGCAAGAGTGGACCTCTGGGCAAAGGCTGCGTTTGGTGCGCGGCTTCAGGGGGCCGCGGGAGGGGGCCAGCCGCCAGTGCTGGGGAGAACCCCGCGGGCCCGCACCACAAGTCACCCTGGCGAAGGCTCACTCTCACGCGCATCGGGCTTCTACTGACCCGGGTCAATACAAGCCTGGGCCGGTCAGGCTTTGCAACATCCTGCAGGATCCTGCGCGCTAGCCCAGGTCAATGCAACCCTGGCTTTGAAGGACCCTGCAAGATCCCGCGCTCTGGCTGACCCTCCTTTGCATTGACCACCTTCTCTACCAGCTCGAGCGTAGCCGACTCGGGAATTCGCTGGCGACCCTCGGCCCAGGGCGTCCCCGGGGGCACCGATCGTCTCGCCCTCGCGGCTGGCGGAGCCCGCACGCCACACGGAGGCCACCGCGGCCGAGAGCGCCTGGCTGGTGCGGGGAGGAGTGCGGACAGGAAAGCAACAACCTGCACATACACAGGCTTTCGCCCTGCTGTTGTCCAACTGCACATGGCTGGTGAGGATGTTCTATGATCATGGTAGCGCCCGGAGGGGGATGCCGGGCCCCTCGAGTCGGCTCACCATCGTTGCCCCCCATCGGGGCGTGTGTAAAGTTGTGGTGGGTCGCCTGTCGCAGGGGTGTCACTACTTCCATTGTCCCACTCGTAATTGCGATTGATCTGCCTACCACGGCACCCCACTTTGCGCAACCTGGAGACGACGAGCGGAATGGGCCATGAACCGAAGCATCAGCATCAGCATGCCGCGCGCACTGCTTGGGTCGGCGCTGGAGCCCCGCTGGCGACGCCTCTGGGCCAGCCCCTGGCGCGCTTCGCGTGAATGTGAATTGGCTCCAGCGCTGATCCCAGGAATACGCGGGGCTCCAAAACACACAGGTGTCGCATCCCAAGACAATCATTGCACTGTGAGTTGGTGCTTCTGGTTTCTGCTGCTCCATGAGTGGCCTGTAGTTTTGGGTGTTCGCCAGATGCCCGCCCGTGGGAACCTGGTGGGGTGCCCTGGGTGCTGGCTGGCAAATCCGAACTTTCGTCTGGTGCCCGCCCGTAAGCGCCTCGTGGGCGTCTCGTGGGCACCCCGTGCGCTGGCTGGCGGCTCTGGACTTTCAGCGGGTGCCCGCCAGTGAACGCCTCGTGGGCGCCCCGTGCGCTGACAGGAAACATGAAACGCACATGGACTGCACCGTTGAGCTCGCACCACTTGCATTCTGCCACGTACAAAAAACTGCATTCTGCCCCGAATGCGAAGCCAGAGTTCTCGCTACATCTTCGCGTAATGCATTTTCATATGTGTCCTGCGCAAGCGCTCATCATGCACATGCAGTCACACCATCTCAGACAACCCAGCACCGATTACGCAGTCACCCCTTTTCAGATTTTACCATGCGGTCCACACTCATTGATCTAACAAGCGTTTTTGGACAGTATCCCCACAATCAACTACCATGCGGGCCACGCTTGCGCG